TATACTAAACTTCTGTGCTGCCTGCAGTTTAATATAGTTTTCCTGGCCCGCCATGTTCCTGGAGTTGACAATGCTTTGTTGACACCTTGTCCCATCAAAAGATGGACCAGTTCAGGGCATTGGAACTGGGAGCACAGGTTCAGCCAGACATCCTACCAGGAGAGGTATGGAGGACTGGAGATTTGAAGCCAATAGGGCCATGAGTTTAGCAGTTGCCCCCAGCACTTACCTCAGCTACTCGGCGGCATGTGCCAAGTTCTTTATGTTTTGGGAAGAAGATGGTCTAGGGCATGCATGACCTGTCCCACCTGAACATTTGATGTAATTTGCTGTTCATTTACATAGGAGAGGATTGGCACCTAGGTTTAAACAAGGAAAATATCCCTTTTAGCCTTTTATGCTAAGGCACAGGGGTGCAGGGACCACACGATTGACTTCCACATTCAGATAATTGAAGGATGGAGTAAGCAGCACGGCTGCACAAAAGACATCCACGTGCCTATATCGCCAGCTATCTGGTGTAAATTGGGGAATGCATGGGACATGGTTTATATAGTTTTGAAGCATGCCTTTTAAAGGCAGCAACATTATAGCCTCTTTTGGGGCCCTTCGGGTGAGCGAGCTGGTGGCTGCAGTGAAAATGGATGCATCTGTATCCTCTTTGCAGTGGAAGGATCTAGTAGTCTCAGATGAGCAGATTCACTTACAAAGGTCAAAGACAGATCAGTGGGGAAAGGGACAGGTTACTCTGTCAGGTCGGTGTTCTGTTGAGATTTGCCCTGTGAAGGCCACAATGGAATACCTATGCCTCAAGGGAGATGAAGAAAGGGGGCTTTTGCAGCATAAGGATGGGTCACCACTCATGAGATACCAATTCTGGACTTCTCAAGCTTTGTGACTTCTCAAGATCTGTGCAAGGCCGAGATACAGGGATGGCGATTTGGGACTCATTCCTTTCGTGTAGGCATCGCGTCTACAGTGGCTGCCCCAGGTTATGGAGTGAAGGACATTATGAGGGTTGGGAGGTGGTCATCTCATAGGTATTGTTCATATGTTCGATCCCTCCCAGTTTTAGGTACTGTCTTGTGTTCTTCATTGCAGGTCCTGAGATGCCAGTGTTCAAAGTTATGCTATGTGGCCACAGTTACATGTTCTGGGCAGAAAAGTATGCCAGTCTGACCAGTTGGGGTCAGAATTTAGGCCTCTGAGTGTGGGCTGCACTTGAATGAAGGAGACGGAAAGGCATGCTCTGGGATAGGTTCATTGAATTGGCGTCCCAGGGTACTCCGGATGTGACCTGATATGTTGATTAATCTTGGAAGTAATAACTTGGACCGAACATCGAGCAAGTATTTGATTGTACATGTCACTGACCTGAAAGGTTTTGCAAAATGCTATCCAGCAACATGCACTGTGTGGTCGGTGATTACTCCGTGGCTCATGTAGAAGGGGAGTCGTAACAGAGAGGCTGGCAAAGCCATTAAGGAGGGCCTAGGATCCATTATAACACATCCTGACATCAAATTTAGCCAGCCTGGATTATACAGGGCAGATGGCATACATTTACCAGATACGGGGTTAGACATTTTCTTAAGGGATTTACAAGGGGGCCATTGGGCAAAAATTTTCAGCTTGGTGGGGGGCATAGGGCATACTTTGTAGGCCTTATGCCATGGCAGGTAGTGCAAAAGAAACAGGTGCAGGTAAGTTAAAAAAAAGGAGGCACCCAGTGGGTGTAAGGCACCCCTCCTCTTGGAAAGACATTAGCAGAGGTTTAGATCAGTGGTTCTTAACCTTTGTTACTCAGATGCTTTTGAAATGCAACTCCCAGAAACCCCAGTCAGCACAGCAGGTGGTGAAGGCTTCTGGGAGTTGCAGTCCAAAACTCCTGAGTAACCCAAGGTTAAGAACCAGTGGTTTAGATCAGGGATGTCCAACCTTTCACCTTCCCTGGGCCACATTAGAAGATGAAAATTTGGTTTGGGCCGCACATACATTTGGTTTGGGCCACATGAGGAGGCAGCCCTAGCTGTCCTCCGCAGCCCTGCTCCAAGCGCGCTTACTGGCAGCTGCGATCTCAAGACAGCAGAGGCTGCCAGCTTTGACTCCGGTGGCTTTATGGGGCTGGGAGGGGGTCCACCTATTGACGGGGACGGCACAATGCAGTCATGCAGCCCCCCCGTCCCCTACCCTCCCCCTCCTTCCTTCCCTCTCTCCCCCTCTACTGTTATGACATGCCTCGGCCACATTCCGGCCGCAAGTGCTGGCAGTGTATCTTGAACCTTTGGAATATCTTTAAAAATAAAAAATTGCACTGGGCCGCATTACGAGCTGACCTGGGCCGCATGCGGCTCTTGGGCTGCGGGTTGGACAAGCCTGGTTTAGATGAAGGGAGGGTAAGCAAGGGGCCCCGGTGGAAGCTAGGCACTCAAGGCCAGGAGGACCACCTTCGGGTAATCCGGCTATCGGAGGACCGAAAGTGTGCTGTTTAGTAGGACAGCATGATTTTGCAATAGGAACTTCCTAGGGTGAGGTCTGGACTGGAAGAGCAAAGCAGACTCCGGTCGCAGACCTGTTTGCACTATGGTAGGCCCTCCCATGAAAAGGAAAGTTAAAGTTAATGAAGTTGTGGTGCTAGTTAACCCATACATGGTGTCTTGTCTCATTATTCTGGGCTGGGCAGGCAATGAGCCCTTTTGGAATCAAATTTATATTCACAATTTTCTAATTTCAACGAAGTATTTTTCTCATAGATTTCACATTTCTGACTGAATGTGTGCCATTCATATGCTATGACCTGATTCATATTTCAAAATAGAGGTCTCTACACTGCATATATTAAAAATGTAATTAGACTCATAAGGAATTCTGCATAGCAGCATCCTTCTGCTAGTGGGCTGATGAATGAAATGGCCCATCCACTAATTTGTGCTGAAGAGTTGGGGATCTTCTGAAGTAGCTTTGCCTGTCATGCTGCGATTGTAGGGAAGAGGAGAGGAAAAAAAAAATCCCCTTGTGAGAGTGGAAATCCCTCATGTAACACTTGATGTAACTCAAGATGTTGAAGTCACCTCTTTTCAATGAAGTTTTGCCTGTAACCATATACAGTGGTGCCTCGCTTAGTGATGTTAATCCATGCAGCAAAAATCGCGATTTCATCGCTAAGCGATATTAAAAAGCCCATAGAAACGCATTAAAACCTGATTAATGCGTTCCTATGGGCTAAAAACTAACCTTAAAGCGAAGATCCTCCATAGGGGCAGCCATTTTCGTTGCCTCTAAAACGAGGCAAAACAGCGGGTGGCCATTTTGTTTACCTGGAGGCCATTTTGAAACCGCCGATCAGCTGGCCGAAAATGGGGGCTTTGCGATGATCGCTTCCCTGCGATCATCGCAAAGCGAATTTTCCCCATAGGGACCATTGCAAAGCAATCGCTCTTGCGATGGCAAAAAGTCTATCGCAAAGCGATTCATCGCTATGCGGAGCGATCACTATGCGAGGCACCACTATGTCTATATCAATACATGGGTAGGTAATCTTGAATCCAGTGCAATCCTATGCAAGTTTACTCAGAGGTATATCTCACTGTGTTCAACAGGTGTGCATGGGACTACTGCCATGTTTATTAAGTTCTTGTTTGCAGATATGGCCCAAAGTTATTAAATTAAATATTGCAAATAAAAACCTAATTATATATCAGAACTTGAAACCAGAATACTTTACAAACAACATGTATAAGTGTGACTTTTCTTTTGGAATGAAAATCATGCAGTATGTAGCCATATACATTTACAAAAGAAAGACCGCTTCTTTGTGGTTGATATTTTTAACATTTATTTAAAAAAGCAAAATGTATGTTCATTTCAAATGAGCCCTTTTGGAATCAAATTTATATTCACAATTTTCTAATTTCAACGAAGTATTTTTCTCATAGATTTCACATTTCTGACTGAATGTGTGCCATTCATATGCTATGACCTGATTCATATTTCAAAATAGAGGTCTCTACACTGCATATATTAAAAATGTAATTAGACTCATAAGGAATTCTGCATAGCAGCATCCTTCTGCTAGTGGGCTGATGAATGAAATGGCCCATCCACTAATTTGTGCTGAAGAGTTGGGGATCTTCTGAAGTAGCTTTGCCTGTCATGCTGCGATTGTAGGGAAGAGGAGAGGAAAAAAAAAATCCCCTTGTGAGAGTGGAAATCCCTCATGTAACACTTGATGTAACTCAAGATGTTGAAGTCACCTCTTTTCAATGAAGTTTTGCCTGTAACCATATACAGTGGTGCCTCGCTTAGTGATGTTAATCCATGCAGCAAAAATCGCGATTTCATCGCTAAGCGATATTAAAAAGCCCATAGAAACGCATTAAAACCTGATTAATGCGTTCCTATGGGCTAAAAACTAACCTTAAAGCGAAGATCCTCCATAGGGGCAGCCATTTTCCTTGCCTCTAAAACGAGGCAAAACAGCGGGTGGCCATTTTGTTTACCTGGAGGCCATTTTGAAACCGCCGATCAGCTGGCCGAAAATGGGGGCTTTGCGATGATCGCTTCCCTGCGATCATCGCAAAGCGAATTTTCCCCATAGGGACCATCGCAAAGCAATCGCTCTTGCGATGGCAAAAAGTCTATCGCAAAGCGATTCATCGCTATGCGGAGCGATCACTATGCGAGGCACCACTATGTCTATATCAATACATGGGTAGGTAATCTTGAATCCAGTGCAATCCTATGCAAGTTTACTCAGAGGTATATCTCACTGTGTTCAACAGGTGTGCATGGGACTACTGCCATGTTTATTAAGTTCTTGTTTGCAGATATGGCCCAAAGTTATTAAATTAAATATTGCAAATAAAAACCTAATTATATATCAGAACTTGAAACCAGAATACTTTACAAACAACATGTATAAGTGTGACTTTTCTTTTGGAATGAAAATCATGCAGTATGTAGCCATATACATTTACAAAAGAAAGACCGCTTCTTTGTGGTTGATATTTTTAACATTTATTTAAAAAAGCAAAATGTATGTTCATTTCAAATGAATCTGTTAAAAATGTTAAAGCATACAAACACAAATTGTGTCCTAGCAGCATCCAATAATTAGATTTTTCTAGAAGTCTGCAGTGTCATTTTGGCAAGCTAAAACACACAGTAGCTTGCAACCCACTGACCTCATCATAGTGCAGATAAAACAAAAACTTTATAAAATTAACAGGTTAAATAGCTTAAATAAAGGTGTTAAATACATGTCACTCACTCAAAGCTCCTGTACAAAGATAAACAAATCTGGCATTATACAAATGATTGGCTGGCTCGCACCACATATGGTTTTAATAGTTAGTTTCTCTATAACCATCTTAGCTGAAGACAAACTATACAAAGTCACTGACATTGGAGTGAACTGATAAGTGAGCCATGTACAAGGCATGTGTCTCTTTAGAAAAAACAGAACACTGTTTAAATTCAGGCACCATTTTTTCTGCAAATAAATAATCCTAATATATCTGCATCCAAACTAGTGTTAAATTCATCAGCACTAATTTTTTATAAAGACAGCTTGGTGACTATTCATTTCTACCTCCATTATTGCTATGACAATGTGACTGTGGAAATATCTACTGTACATACAAAAAATAGAGCACCTTTAAACATGAAAGTATATGTCTAGTTATTTATTTTTATCTTACAGTATTGAAATCAAAGCTACCATAAATTGCTTTACCATCTGCACTGGAGCACCTGAAGTAGAGAAAATAAAAATCACCTTATTCCTCTCCAGGAAAACTCAAGCCAGAAGTATACTCTAAAATGTCTAAAATGACACCAGGATTTGTACATTCATTTTCACAAAAACAAATGTCTGCCATTCTTTCTGTTTTATTTAGATGAATATGAATCTAATTCCTAACAGTCCACAGCCTTGTTCAAATGAGCAGGGCTACACAGAAATTACAGCAGTATATATAAAATGGGCTGTGAATATAGTGAAATTATATTAGGCTACTTCAAAATTACTGGTGTTTATGTGGTTTCAGTGATGCTTTTTCAAATATTAGGACTTCTTATCTATCGTATTAAAAAACCATTCAGTAAATTTTCTTAGTTGAGCAGCTGCTGTTTGGGATTCTTCCTGAAGTCTCATGTTATCCTGCCTCAGATGCTGGACTTCAGCCTGGAGAACAGCTTTGTCTTGTTTTTCCTAAATCATAGAAAGAGATTGAATGATGTTTGTAACCACTATTTTTGCTGCTGATGTTTCTGAGTAAGCTAACAGACCTCAGTTTATTTCAACTCCCTACTGATAATGAAAGCACTAGAACTCTGATCCAAATCCCTGAATTTGCCTTAGTCTATTGTTTTAAAGTAGATGATCTTGCAGGCTAAACAAAGATAAGTTAGATGGTATAACCAAGTTTCCATATTTTAGCTACATATAGGCCTAGGTTACATGCAGCATGCTTCCTCATAGGAGCAGGGACATAAATCAGAAATACTGACTTAAAGGGCTTGCAAACAATACAAAAAGAACAATATAGCTGGGAGCAACTATGCAGCTAGACATGCATTAAGTAGTACTTTACAAAAAATACAGGTCAGCAACTGTGAAAGGAAAATAATGGACTTCAGAGGAGGGAATTGTCTCCAAACGCTATATAAAGGCATCAAAATTAGTTTCAACAAGAAGAGGCACCGGTTTTTCTGCAACATCAGATACTAGTCAGCAGCGAAGTTTTAAAGATTGTGAGCATAATCCAACAAATCTACACCACTTGCTCCTGCAGCTCATGGACACCCAGAAACCACCTCCAGAGGGCTGGGAAACTCTGTGCAGCAAAATTTTGGTACCATAGAGCAAGGGTCCCCAACCCCTGGTCGATGGTCTGGTGGTGGTGTGTGGGTTTCCTGGAAATGGGCCGCGGACACGGATCTCCGCCCCCCAATGGGTGTGCTACTCTCGTGGAGGGGCGTGTTGTGCTTTGCCTGACACCCCCTTCTCAGCTGGCTTGCTCACTCGTTCCCCCCGTCCGCCTTCCCTTACCTGCTCCCAGGACAATCAGAAGGAAGCCAAGCAAGCCAATGGGCGCCGCGCAGCCACCTCGGGGAGAACCCATGGGCTCTGCAGATGGGCAACGGGGGTGACAGCCATCCGTGAGCAAGAGCCTTGGACCCCCCTCCGTGCTCAGACCACCCGCCTGGGTCATGAGACACTCCCGTGACAGCCATCCATGAGCAAGAGCCTTGGACCCCCCCCTCCGTGCTCGGACCACCCGCCTGGGTCATGAGACACTCCCAAACTCTCGCTCCTGTTCCCAGCCCCAGCAAAGTGGGTGGCAGCAGCGCAGGTGTGGCGACGGTCGCCCCAGCACACAAAGCGCACCTGCGCCCAGTGATCGCCAGCCAGAGGGCTTGACTTTCCTCACTTGCCTCGGGCGGGAAGCAGTGTTGCACTGGCCGAAGTTCGCCCAAGCCCCACGAAACCGGTGCTGGGCACCTTGGTGGGGCGAAGCTGGAGGGTGGACCTGGGGTGGCAGCGGGGGGATGGATCAGTCAAGTGGGGAGACAGGTGCCAACATGCAGTTGCCCCTACCGCACCCCTGGCTTTTGTGCACTTGCTTGTTTGGCTGTTGCTGCAGAGTTTTGCCTTTTACACTTACACGTGCAAGCATGACACACACTCCTGTGAGCGCGGGGTGCCCCACCCCGGCACACAAACCCCGCAGCCCCCAACCAATCCACAGTCCCAAAAAGGTTGGGGGCTGTTGCCATAGAGGGCTGGGGCAAGGAGTGTTAATACTACATGGATTTAACCCATGCGATCTAGTTACACAGCGAAGAAAGAAAATCATGTTCATGAATGAATCAAGTCAATAAAAAAGGCAGTTACAGACATATAGACAGAGTAACAGACATAAGGAGATATGATTAGCTACAATATAGGCAGATACCAAATCATTATGCATAGGACCATCTTAATGGCCTAGAAAGCAGTAAGGTCAGTACTATAGCTATCTCATCTGATTTACCAACCTATTCTCAGAAAACAATGGGTCCTTCCTTCCTTCCTTCCTACTCTCCTACTATCCCATTAAGTTTAACAGACTAGAAAAGGTTTCCTCAACACCAGAGCTCCAGTGATATATGTGTTTTCACTAAAATATTTTTAAATCCACCATCATCATAAAAAAACAACAGGGCCAGTAATTGAAAGGGTAGTCATATAGGGTGCAACAGTAACTAGCCAAGATGGTTGAGGGCTAGCTGAAGCTGTACTGAATTGCTCCTAACCTAGAGATATTTGAAATATTTAGAACTACCCTCATAACGGCCTAATTTTGAGCTGGAGCATCCCTGGGCTGCAAGAGGTTTCAATCTGCTGTAACTCAGCTCCTCCCTCATCTCATCAATTCTCTGTTAGTGGCCGGTATTATCAAGCATGGCAGTGGGAGGTTTCAATCTGCTGTAACTCAGCTCTTCCCTCATCTCATCAATTCTCTGCTAGTGGCCGGTATTATCAAGCATGGCAGTGTTTTTTTGGCTGATTCTTTCAATGGCACATCTCTAAGATTAGGCAGGGCAAAGGCTGTGTTGGCACAAGGGGAGTTGTGCCAGTGCAGGAGGCTGCCCACTTCAAATCCACTATAACCAGTATAGCTTTGAGTTAGCGTTTTATTTTAGTTTGTAGTCTGTGTCAACAACAACAACAAAAAGGAGCCTCGTAACAAATTAGAAACAACCATGTTTTATTTGGCATATTTTGGCAGTCCACATCTAGAGACATAATGTTGCAGTGTTGTTCAAATCTTTGTTGATGCCATTAACACAAGTGCTAGACTTTATGGTACCATAATACTTTTTTGCTGTTGCAATTTTTGATGCACTTTTATGGGAAAGTTATTCCATATAGTTGAGCTGTCATAACCAAGAAGCCTCTTTCTATTGTCTAGACATAATGTACTCAAGGCTCCTGGAGAACAGCCTTTGCTTAAAGGCAAAAGATGAGTACAAGGAGTTCAACACTTTCTTTCATTGTACCTTTTCACACTGTCTCTCCAAGCAATAATATTTATGAAGTTAAGAGGTTTGTTTAAAATTGTTTAGCAGTTCTGCCATTTGGAACTGCCCCCCTTTTTTTCTAAAAGAAAAAGAGGAAAAAATCCCACTCCCTCTTTCATTCATTCAAGATTGGTGAGATCTATACATAATAAAGTGGGTCTGCTGCTGTCACATATAGTTTGAAACTTAAGAAGCTGTTTCTCATTGCAAGGGGTAAAGTATTCTAGGAGGCACAATAAGCTCTAAATTTCAGAGTACTCTGGAAAAAGTAGCCATGTCCACCTAACCAGAGGCTATGTAATTAATCCTTACAGTTAGATACAAGAAACATTTATGTAAGCAAATCTTACATAAGAAAACAAAACTGAAACAGTGAGAAAGTGTCATCTACACTGGTTCTTAACCTTGGGTTACTCAGGAGTTTTGGACTGCAACTCCCAGAAGCCTTCACCACCAACTGTGCTGACTGGGGTTTCTGGGAGTTGCAGTTCAAAAGCATCTGAGTAACAAAGGTTAAGAACCACTGATCTAGACTTCGAATACAATCTAACTCCTCAAATGTGAAGTAAACAAGTTCATTGGTACTTTCAGACTTTACTCTTCAAGTCTTTCTGAACATGATGAAATTTTATTTGTCCCCTTAATTTAGTTCTCATGATAGAAAAGTTCATGAATTACCTGAAGGAAAAATAATGCAGTTGAAGTTTTTCCCTAGTTAATGTTCAAGTATAAATTTGGCATAAAATATTTTATTCTACTGGAATTTTAATGTGTAAGAGGAATCATGGAAGTTGCTGGGGCTAATGGCAGCTAACTGGAGAGGTGTCAAGAGCATAATCAGGTACACAATCAGGCACATGACCAACAAGCTACCAACACCTCATCAGTTAGTTGCAGCAGATTCCATTATTTCTCTTGCATGCACATAAAATCCCAGTAGTATTTTGGTTAAAAAACTAAGATAGTTTTAATTGACTAATCCACTACTTCAGCAAGTTAAGTCAAATGTTTTGTTGTTTACTGGCTGGTCTATAAATTGGTATCTGAATGTATGAAGTTGTCTTCTAATGGTAAGTCCTACCATTAGTTTGTCCAGGCCAGGACAAGCACTCTGATTCTAAATTGAGCTTCCACTACCTTTCATTCAACTTCCATTGAGATACCAGAGATGTTGTACACTGAGGAAGCAAGTAGATTGGACGACAGATTTGCTATGGGACCCACTCTCATACAAACATTTTAAAATATCTAAATTTATTTATTTATTTATTTAAACAGAACTGTATAAAAATATATAAAATCATAAAATTACAATTACAATTTCAATTTAACAATTAATTTAAAGAAAGGATTACCAAGATGGAATAGCAAAGAAAAGAAAAAAGGAGAATGCAGCTGCTCAGGGCTTGATCTGACATGAGCGCTGGTAGATGCAAGGTTACAGGTTACCTCCTGAGCAATTTTCCCTGTCTGAATCAAGTCCCCCCTCTCCCCTACCAATTTGTTCAATGTGGCGAAAACAAAAATCTAATGTAAGTAAAACCTTCCAGTAGTAGCTCCTGAGTTGTCCAGTAGCTCCTGAGTTGTCTTAGAAGGAAACCATATATGCACTGATAACTCTAATAAGTAACATGTTTACCTTACGAAGATCAGTTTGCAATTGTCGAAGAATCACTTCAAGCTGGTTTACTTTTCCAGTCAGAGTAGTAGGGCTGTCCTCCCTACAAAATTAAATTATATTTTGAAATTCTTGAAATGTCTCAAGCCTATTCCCTAGTAAATTAGGTCCAGATAAAATGCAGAAGTCACTGAAGCAACAGATGCAATAGTAGCAATAAGCTGTTATTCAGATACAAGTCCAGTCATGTGATATTTAATCAAAAATCAAATGCTAACAAATGTGTCTGAGATATCCCTTCCAATTTCCCTTGCTTATAATGCATTTTGTTAAGAAAGAAAATGAGACTGAAACAAGTTTATTTACACAAAATTAGTGTTCAAGTGTGTCAAATTGTACAACTGCTGGACTATGAAGCAGGGTGGGAAACAGTCAGAAAAAATGAGAGAGGTTAGGATAAAGACTTGGATTTAATTCATCCTTTCCCCGTTTGGGAAACC